GTGGAGTGGCAGAGGCAATTAAAACATGTTGAAACCTACTAAGGTTATTTCAAGGATTTATTTTTTTTCCTGCAGCCTCTGGAGGAGGACCCTGAGAAGTTGTACAGTGACTTACCAAAGTTTACAGTGTGTCTGAAGCAGAGTGCAGAAATAGCGACTCCCAGTGATCACTGGGATCAACAGTGATCTTCTCAGTGGCATTGTTTTTTTCTTTCTTTGTGACCTTAGGCTGGCCAAGTCTACGCTGACTCTGATCCCACTGCTGGGGACCCATGAGGTCATCTTTGCATTTATTACTGATGAGCATGCCAGAGGGATGCTGCGCTTTGTGAAGCTTTTTACTGAGCTCTCCTTTGCTTCTTTCCAGGTAGCACTTACACTGTGCCTATGTAGATACGATATTTTTTAACTGCTGTTTGGGAACCTGCTTTCTCTCTCATTCACTGCATGTTCCCTGTTCTTTATATTCCTCAATGTAGCACTAGATATTACAGGTTTATGACAGTGGAAGGGAAGGTATGAGGACTAATTTTTAATAGTCAACTTAGTGTCAGATACTTCTATTTTCAATGTCTTATATTTATTACAATAAACTTGTATTCCTATCCACATATCAATATCTACCTATGGGACACCTCAAAGCAATAACGAAATTCTCTGTGATTCCCTGCAATTGTATAGTGGCATCGCTGAAAGCACATTTTGTGCTTTCTCCAGTGTTTCTGATGCTCCTTAGAAAATCTGTGCTGTGAGAGGTAGCTATCTATCAGCTGTAGCTATCAGCTGTAACTGCATGTGAGGTGGGTGTAGCTTTACTGTGATTTTTATTTAGCTCTTGCCTTAGGTGAGACCATTTCAAAAGAGTCTCTTTGTCTAAAGGAATCATTATTCTTCTAGTTTCCCTGCTCATCAACTCATTCCATATTTATTAAGCATAGAGCTTTATTTGACTGTAAACTGTTCACTTATGAAGTGTTTATAACTTGATACAAGGTAAGGAAAAAGAAGTAGAAAGGAATCTTTAGAAAAAAACCAACAGAGTGAAGAAAACACAAACGTCTTTTTTTTTTTTACCAAAGATCGTGTGCCTTGACACATAGTTTGGTCAAACCTCTCCTTTGCCATCATAGCTGACAGGGACAACAGATTGTCTCTGTCTTTCAGTCTTATATGAGACATTCCAGTGTGGAGCCTCTAGCTCTCTCCAGTTTTGTTTGGAAAAGCAAGGGAACTGCTCTGCTCACTGCTCTTCTGCTCTTTTGTTGATTTCAGGGGCTGATGGTTGCAATTCTCTACTGTTTCATCAATAATGAGGTAAGAAGGATATTAGTTGTTCCAATTTGCCTTATCAGCATCCACTGTAGGAAAAGGAAATTGAAAATGGTCTTGAACAGCTAAAACTGTCCTCATTCAGGACTTTTACTTTTTTTTACAGACCCTCCTTTCTATAGCTGTACAGGATAACTACCCAGACAAATGTTGTTGGAAGGAATTCAGGCAGCATAATTTAGGGCCATTATTTGTAGACATGAAATCTTGCAAGTTGCCTTCCTCACAATTGTATAGTTTGCACTGCTGGAGCTTTTCTTTTATTAAGAATTATAGCTGCTCTTCTTAATCTATCTCATAGTGCTTCTTATTTGTTTGTTTTGATGAATGTGGGAGTAGAGCCGATTTTATTCTGAGAACTCAGCTCAGCTGGCTGGTGAGGTTGGAGAGTGCTCTTGTCTAATGCCCACACAGTTTGGTTTCATTTGGTTTCTCTGTGGACCAGCTATTTGAAGACATAATTGTTCTCTCATTCGGATGGAAGTTCATGAAGTGGTCACCTCTCTTACAGGTTCAGAAGAAATAGAGCCATGAGGTCGAGTTAATTGATTGCATCCTCTGTGGCTTCTGCTGAATCCCAGCCCTCTTGCGGGAAAGGGTGTTGTTCTGTTTAGGCATTGCAGGAATCTCTAGTGTTACCTTCTAAGTGATTATTATTATTCATCATTATTTTAGCCAGGTTTGGAAGGGAAGCAAACACTAGTAATTTGTCAGCACATTATTAGGTTTAATGCACATCAGCGTGATTTACCCTCATGCTAAATCTACTTTTAAACATGTCATGGAAATTCAAGATCACCTTTTGAGAGCCAGGCCTCATCAAGAAATTAGAATCAATGGAAAAATGTTCTGCTTGTGTCATTATGGCCAGACTGAAGTTGAGAGAAAAGCAGCAGGCATCCTGAAGTAAGCCCTGCAGGAGACTGTTCGCTTTAGTAGCTTGTGGGTAAGATTTTGTTTAAAACGTGAATGTGTTAGTTGTACTGCCTACAAAAGTCAGATGTGGGTAGCAGCAGGCTTTACTCAAGCATGAATTAGGGGATATTTGTTTCACATCCCTTGTACAGCTTTACAGGTGTACTTCAATCCTGAAATGCAGCACTGTCTGCTGGTGCATCGGGTATTTCTTTTGATTTGCTTCAGCCTTTGCTCCCACAGCTGGTGTGCAAATAATTTGCTACATATGATACAATGGCAGAGTTACATTATAGCCCAAACTCTGTTACAAGCTCTGAAACAGGGAGGTTCGTTTCATCTGAGGGAACTTACTGTGAAGTAGCCTACCCACATTTCTAGGAGGTCCTCCAAATCTCTTGTTGCTACTGTTCTCTTGCCTTTCTAATGTAATTCATAAAGTCTAACCACAATGTTCTCAGCTTCACAGAAAGCTGACAGGACAATCTAGGATGAATTATTTTGCTTGTTCCAACTCTTGTTAAAAGAAAGGAGAAGGATTTTGTCAAGCTCAGTCATCAGCATCTGTAAAATAGATCAATGTAAAGAGTTTGATTAGGTCAAGTCTCTTTCTTTCCTAAACTATGAGAGATGGTTTTCCTAAACTAAATGAGAAACTGGTTTTCTTCTGACAGACTCTATGTGCCCAAAGACTATCCTTGTTTGCAATATAGTCTATATTTTTATTTTTTCCTGTTACTCACTGATTCTTTTTCCTTAACCATACAGAATGAAAAGGTTTTTTACAAGTCCTGGTGCCAGATCAAGATTAGAAGTGGTATTACTGTCCTTTTCTAGTATCTAATTATGGCAAAACAGTAACATATGTTTGTATTTCGGTCATGTTTCACCTGAAAGATTCTGGATTTTCTCTGAAGCCAACAGCAGGGTCTCATCAGATTGCCTGTTATCATCAGTGTTCTTTGCAAAATGACCTGGACTTAATATGACCAGTTTTTCTGCAGCTAATGTTGCCTTCTGTAAGAAGTATTGTAAAACACAGAGATGCTGCCTCTTGCCAGCAGAATTAGTTTAACCTGGTTCAGGTTTCATTCTGTGTAGTCTTGCTTCTCCTTTTTGCCTCCTTCCTATCTCAATGGAAGTGCCTTTCAGTCTCTTCTACCTTAAAGAAACTGTCCTGACCTTAGGACTCCTGAATATTTTTAATTACTGCCCAGTATTACCTTTTTCTTTTCATTTCTTTTCATTCTGTAATCAGACTATCTATTTAACTCCTTCACCAGTTCAGTTCCATCCCATGTCAGACCTACTTTCCTTTCACTATGATTTGTTCATGAAATTTTTTTTGACAAAGTTTAACTTTTTTTGTACTCAGATTCCAGATTCATTGCCACACCCTCAACATCTTTGCCCATTAGCTGTGTTAAGCTCAGTCAAATACTCTTTGTGAGAAATCATCTCCACCTTTAACTTCCATGACCAACTTTTCCAAGTTGTCATACCTCTTCCCTTTCAAAATACTCTACAGAAGAATTTTCCTTTTTCTCCTTTCTCATGGGAGCTTTGTTTTTGAGTCCCTTTTCCCAGTATAGCTTATTTCTGGGGAATCTTATCCATACATGGAAGTTACTAGGCTAATTGTTCTCCTGAATGATCTGGAGATGAAGCTCTGCTCAGGAGCTGCCTCTTTACAAAACTAATCTTACTCTCTTCCCTTGTTCATACATTCACAGTCATCTAAGTAAAAACTCAGTTCATCTGGCATGGCAGAGCTCCTCTTTACCCTTTTCCTAATGTCTAGAGAGAAAACAAATATTCTGTCATTCAGATCCATTCCGAAGACATCATCTCTGATACAGTCTTTTGTTCACATCTTCTCATCCACTTCATCTCAATCTTGCAGGCTATTTGTATCATAGCTCTAGGACACAGCCTGTCATGTCCAGCCAGACTGAAGATTCATTTCCTTCCATTGACTGATTCTAAGATAACCATTTCTATCACTCATTGACTTATTCTATCAGTAAATACATTCATGCTTTCTGCCTGTAAATGTCTGCAACTTTTTCCCATTTTATTAAACCAGCTGTTTTCCATGCCCTCAAAAGGTACCAAGTACTGAGGTTGCAATATAGTCAATTCTTTTGCCAAGAGTATAGTCCCTGTATGTCATTTTTTCCTCTTCTGTCTTTACCATGCTGTTCCCCTTCATTCTTCTGTGCCAAACTATCCCAGACATGCTGTTGTCTTTTGCTGTCTTTATGCAGCTTTTCACACAGTGACCCACAGTTACCACAGTAAAATACAAGCTTCTGTCTCAGCCCCTTTCCTTGTGTCCCATGTGGTTGTGATACCAGAGGGACAGATTCCATTGTCAGAAATGCAGAGATGCAGCTGTTTCCCACCAGGACAGTATTTGTTACAAGGGCTGTAGCCCAGAGCTGACAAGCGCTGCTAGAGGTAGTCACCAAGGGAAGACAGTTGGTTATGTAAGGCTTTGCTTCTTATTTAGGACTTCCTTCTAGGTTCACTATTTCACAATGGACAAGCAGAGAAAACAGCTGTTTCCTTAGGAAGTTTCCCTGAGAGTATAAAGGTTTCAGCAGCCTGGGTGTGATGACAAACCTGCGCTGGAACTGCCGTCAACTGATTTAGTCTCTCAGCTGTCAGTACCAGACCCTAAAAGGGAAGAAAAAGGAACTCTCAACCCACCTATAGTGAACTTATTTTCAGGCTGAAGTACACACCATAATGAATTGATTACTGTAGTTGTACTCCTGCCTTTTTTTAGAGTAAAAAAGCTTCAATTTTATGTCCTCTGCCTTGTGTGTTAAAAGCTAATGGAGGTTCTTACTTCAGTCAAGTGGCAAGAACTTTGTCTATGGAACAGGAAGGTCTAAATTCTGTTCTCATTTAGCAGTTACAAGACCTTGGATAAACTTCTGAATGAGTACAGAGGTGTAAAGAAGGAGGTGAGGAGCACGCCCATATCTGAAATAAAAAAAATAAATTCACGCATATAGTTAAATTTAAATTTATTTACAGGATATAAGCTCCCCACCAATTTAAAGGTTCGGTATCGGTTGAGACAAAGATCAAGCTCACGCACTAGCCCTTGACAAAAAATGATAATCCAGATTATCATACACTCACCTCAATCAGGCTGGGGGTTCCCTTTCTCGTCTTGATTGTTTTCACTAAGGTACCATAAAAGGGGGGATTCCCATTCTCCCTTTTAACCTTGCCAGGGGGTACCTTTACCAGGTGGGGGTTCCCATGCTCACCTGGTCAACCTTGCCTAGGAATCCCCTAGACCAAGGGGGACACCTCCTCAGGCCACTGCCACAAGGTAACTCCAACATGGCCACTGCAAAGCCCCCCTTTTAAAACTGCAAAGCCCCTTGTGAAACCCTAGCCAGTGATGACTGTGGTCAATCATAGTCATCTCGGCTTCTCATTGGCTGCTGGCCAACTTCCTGGGTGTAACTGAGTCCTGACCAGCTAGACAAGTCTGGACTAGCCCAGGTCGCAACAGCTTAGCTGGGGGGAGGAAATCCCTGCCACAAGAGGTAACGCAGTTTAACCCAAAACTTAAGACTGGATGAGCATATTTTGTAGCTTTGAAAAAAGATAGTATCTGGAGTGAGATACTGTAATTACTATTCATAAATGGAGAGGAGAATCATAGAATGTCTTATGTTGGAAGGGACCTTAGACATCATCTAATCCAATCTCCCTGCCATAGGCAGGGGTACCCCTAACAGAGACCTTGCTCAAGGCCTCATACAACCTGGCCTTGAACACCTACAGGGAAGGGGCATCCACAACCTCTCTGGGCAATCTGTTCCAAAGTCTTGCCACCCTTGTACTGAAGAATTTCTTCCTAAGATCCAATCTAAACCTATTCTCCTTCAATTTAAATCCATTTGCCCTCATCCTGTTGCTGGACACTCTTGTAGAAAGTGCTTCCCCAGCCTTCCTGCAGGTTGTATTAGAAATAGTGTAACCAGCAGGAGTAAGGAGATGATTGTCCCTCTGTACTTGGCACTGATGAGGCCACACCTGGAGTATTGTGTCCAGTTTTGGCACCTCAATAAAAGAGAGATATCAAGGTGCTGGAGCAAGTGCAGAGGAGGGCAACAAAGCTGGTGAAGGGCCTGGAGAATAAATCTTAAGAACAATTGAAGGAGATGGGCCTGTTAAGTTTGAAGAAGAGGAGGCTGAGGGGAGACCTCATCACTCTCTGCAGCTACCTGAAAGGACATTGTAGAGAGGTTGGTGCTGGTCTCTTCTCACAGGTAATTAATGATAGAACAAGAGGGAATGGCTTCAAACTGCAACAGGGGAGGTTTAGACTGGACATTAGGAAAAATTTTTCACAGAAAGAGTAGTCAGACACTGGAATAGGCTGCCCAGGGAGGTGTTTGAGTCTCCATCCCCGGAGGTGTTTAAGAGACGGGTAGATGTTTCGTTGAAGGACGTAGTTCAGTGGTGTTCATAAGGCTAGGAAGAGGTTGGACTCAATGATCCTGAAGGTGTCTTCTAGCTGAAACTGTTCTATGATTCTTTGATTCTATGATTCTAATTCAGGCATTGGAAGGCAGCTATAAGGTCCCCCCAGAGTCTTCTCTTCTCTAGGCTGAACAATCCCAGCTCCCTCAGCCTATCCTTATAGCAGAGGTGCTCTAGTTCCTGGATCATCTTTGTGGCCCTCCTCTGAACTCGTTCCAACAGATCCATATCCCTCTTATGGTGAGGACACCAGAACTGGACGCAGTATTTGAGGTGGGGACTCACAAGAGCAGAGTAAAGGTGGAGAATCACCTCTCTTGACCTGCTGGCTACGTTTCTCTTAATGCATCCCAGGATGCGGTTGGCCTTCTGGGCTGCATGAGCGCACTGCCGGCTCATGTTGAGCTTCTCGTCTATCTAAACACCCGCTAGTGCTTCTCTTCAGGGCTACTCTCAACCCACTCTGTACCTAGTTTATATTTGTGCCTGGGATTGGCCCAACCCAGGTGCAGGACCTTGCACTTTGACTTGTTGAAGCTCATGCAGTTTGCACTGGCCCATTTCTCAAGCCTATCAAGGTCCCTTTCGATGGCATCCCCTCCCTCCAGTGAGTCCACCGCATCACACCAGTGTTGTCAGCAAACTTGATGAGGGTGCACTCGATGCCACTGTCCATGTCACTGACAAAGATGTCAGTTTCGACCCTTTGTGGTTTATACTTCTGTGTTTGATTTTGGCCAGGAGTTCCTTGTTCATCCATATAGTTCTCCTGGTGTTTTTGCCAGATTTCTTCCTTTTAGGGATGCAGTCCCTTTGAGCTTGGAGGAGATGATCCTTGAAAGTCAACCACCTTTCCTGGGCTCCCAAGTCCTCCAGGGCTTTGTCCCAATGGTATGCTACCAAGGAGATTCCTGAAAAAAAGTACAGTTTTTAATATGCATAGTTGTTGGGTTTTCAATTCTGAATCTTTATTTTTGTATGGAATAATAAAATCCCCCAAAAATATTGAAACAATCAAAAATAATTCAAGACATAATATTGTTTAAATCAAACCAGAAGTGAAAACCGAAGTCTTAAGAACACCTGTGGTGACAGTATTGAGCAGAAAGCCAGTCATTTCATGTCTGGTAAGCAAAATCAACTTTATTGTTAGTACTAGTAGGGTGTAGAGTACATTCAGTATTGCAGCTGAATACAATTTAGAGTATAATAATGAAGATAAGATTTCCTGGTGCATAGAAGAGCTTTATTTCTACAAGTACATGTGAATGCTGTCATCATTTTAAATACAGAATACCCTACAATGGACTAATGAGATAATTGGATAATTTGAAGCAGTAATATTGCAGGTTTAAAACACTGCCAGCTTTTCTCATTAGTATGATATCTCTGTTTTTTCCTTGATCTTTTCTAATGGAGTCATTTAAAGATCTGATTAGTTCTGCATTCATTTCTTTTGTTACCTTCTTTGTTTCTGTTAGGTTCAGATGGAGTTTCGGAAAAGCTGGGAGCGCTGGAGATTGGAACATTTGTATGTCCAGAGAGACAGCAGTATGAAACCTCTGAAGTGTCCGGCCAACAGCATCAGTAGTGGAGGCACAGTAGGCAGTAGTGTGTACGCTGCCACTTGTCAGGCCACATTCAGCTAAGATTTCTGCAGGTGAATCAGACTGAGAACAATGAACTGTTTAATATAGCTGAAAACCCTTAAATACCCAAGCAAGTGGCTTAAGTATGTCATCTCCAGCAAGAAACTTAAGCATATGCTGCTCATTGCCTGTAGGCTGCTGGACAAAGGTTTCTAGGGAAAGCAATCTGCTAATGTAATCAACACATCAGGGGAAAAATTGATCACACCTAATGTAAGTTAAGAGGGTTTCTTCCTATTTGCACACAAGGCCTCCAGGTGTCCAATACTTAAGTGTAGCATTGATCCAGTCTGAAACCACAGGGTCAATGGCTTGTTACTGTTGAGTGGGTGAGGTGAGTGATCAACTGATTAAATTACTAGGATACAGAATATGATTACTGGCAAAAAATACATTTAGACCTTTATGGTGACAAGGTAAGGTGCTATCAACAGTTTTAGAAAAAAAGAGCTTAGTGGGACACAACGTGCGTTTTAGGGGAGTTTTGTAGTAAGAGTTTCCCAAATCTAAAGTTGAAGATACACTTACCTGTTTTCTGGGTAGGGGAAGAACAGCATCCTGAAGGTCTACCAATACAGCAGGTAGCATAGTGTACATTTCTGAATGCTCTTTTCAAGCCTCACTGGAAAAAGAAACAAATCAAAACAAAAATCCAAACCCAGTATGTGGTAGGAACCTCATCTGCTGTTAATAGGTGCTTGTCACCTCTGACGACATGGATGGAAATATCCCCTGAATGCACAGCCCTTTCGTTTGTTCTAGTACTCTGCCTTTCCAGCTGGCACACCACGTGCTAAACAGAGGCATGAGAATGACTTGTGTTTCAAGAAGGGACTTTTCCTTTCTAAGCTCTGCTTCTTGTTGGGTGCAGACACACAGAAGTCGGCTTGCGGCCACAGCTGGCCTTAGCAGGCTTCACCTGCTTGGAGGAAAAGTCGGTAGTTTCACGGCGTGGGCGTGTTTGTGTTTCTCCTCCAGCCCGGTTCGCCTTCTCCAAATCCGTGCTCGGGGCAGGCGGCGGGTTCAGCACGCGGGACAGCTCCCGGGGGGCTGCTCTTCCTCCTCCTCCTCCTCTTCGTCGCCACCAGCGGAATTCAAAAAAATCCTTACCCCTCGAAAAAAAAAAATAAACAAACCAAAGAAACATATCCTAAATTCAAGGGGCTTTTGTCTGTTTAAAACGGCTAATTATGTTACCCTCCCTGAGGTCTGCAGGAGTTGCTGGGGAAAAACAGAGGTACCTTTACAAGCAGGATGTGATCCATCACATCTTTTAATAACAAGCTTTACATAGCTTTACTCAGCTGTTATTCGGGCTCCCTTTACAACAAAGAGGCAAGGTGCCAAAGACTAGCTCTGAGAATATCCCTGTCCATAGACTTCTAACAAGTAACTTCCAGGGCATAGCAGATTGCTCAGCAGAGAGAGGAAGAAGAAAAAAAAACAAACCACAATAAAAAACTATTTTCAAGTCTCTCTTTGCACTTGAATTCACAGCCCGCATTGCCAAGAAAGTAGGCTAGGTATTCCGGGATGTAATTCAGCATCTTTCCTGCCTGAAGCTAGATTGCTTTGCATGGCATTATTTAATCATTGTATTAGAATCCAGATTGCCAACAGGTTGGATTAGTTTTGCAATCATCAGGTTAGAATTGAATCAGAGCAGATGTGTTGCCTTCTGCTATAATGCTTATAATTGAGCTCTGGGGGGGGAAAGTCAGACATGTTTGTAGAAATCCACCACAGTTCTCAGGCTGGCTTACGTATGTTTAGCATGCTGGCTTCCACGTGGGCCGTTTCGCGGATTTCCTAACATCAGTTGCAGAGCTGCTTTTGGAATGAAGCACCTCAGTCTTCTGTAAATTTAATAACTAGCTTCTGTGTTGTGTGACCATCAATACAATACCTACCACATGCAAATGTTAACTGCTGTCCTAAGATTTAATTAATTAGCTTCTTGTATGTAGAGTATGTTTCATGTTTCTAATTAACACCTACCCTTAAGTGCTTTGAATAGGAAAAGACTGATAACAGATGAATGACAGATGAAATTTACAGCTGTATGATGGCACACATTGGAGGGAATAAATTCACTCACGAATATTCAGGAGTGGCTGCTAGTTTTCCAGGGCCCTGCTTTTTCGTGTGCCAACCTGCAAAAAAAGCATCTGCTACTTGTGTAGCTACTAGCAAGATGATAATTTTGCTGTGACAACAGGAAGTTAGAAGTGCTTTAACTCACCATTATGCTGGAAAACCTATACAAATGAAACAAATGAAAGAGATGTATAAGTAGAGAGTATTTACATATGTGGTAACAAACCTGTACTTCAGTTGCTGTCACAAGACTCTTTCAACAGTTTGATGTGCTTTTGAGTTACTAGGCTTGTCTTGTCCCTCCTAGTCACTGAAGAACTGAGGGCTTTGGGCCCACAAGAATAGCTCCAGCACCAGAGGCCAAACTTACCTTTGTAACTTCTGCCTTGTCAGACTCAACAAGAAAAATAAGATGGCAAAGTGAGATCTTAGCCAAGCAGAGGGTTGTGGTGGTGGTTTTTATCTTTACCTCTCTGATTAAGCTCTTGCTTCTTCAAATCTTTTGAAATCCCTCTAAGTACTGAGGGAACAACTGAGTGAAAATAATTGCCACCAAAGCAGAATTACAGTAATCACGTTTTGCAAAATACTTTCAGAAAGGCCTAAACACCAATTTCTTTGTCATACTTTATCTACTTCAGTAAAACTTTTTACAAGCCTTTGTTGTTATTCATGCCATCTCTGTTTCAGAATTTATAACATGCATTTATTTGAGTGTCATGAAATAAGCAAAGCAACACAAAGCACTGGAACAGATGAACCGTATGAATTTTTATTTCTCGTGCCTTTCGACTTAATCCTCGCTTACTGTGGGAACTTGCTTCATGAAGCATTAAATAGAACAGTCTATAAATTCACCTGGACATAATGTAACTAAGAGTTTATAGCAAATGAAAACTCTGTTTCCAGCATTGCTGCTACAAACTTTTATAATATCGTGGATGTTATCTTATATTTAATATTTATTTGCATGTATTTCCTTGTTTTTAAAAAAAACCCACCAAATCTAACTGTACAAGATGTCAGATTATCAACTCCCCATAAATATTACACTTATTTTTATCCTTGTAAATAAAGTTTCAACTCACAAAATTCCATCCCTTCCTGGTGTTTTTACTTTAAGTATCACCTGGCTACTTCTTACTCGGTAATTAGAAGAACACTTTCTAAAAATGGGAGGACTCGGGAGGACTTGGGAAGACTCAGAGTTCATGGTTCTTCCAAAAAAGCAAAGCTTTACATTTGCAATTTTACGTCCACTACAAAAAGACCTTTGAACTTGCAGAGACTATGTTAATCAAAACCAAAATGCAGCATGTTATTTGTATAGAGTCAGAAGGAATCAGAATTGTGAGAACTCTGAGGGGTTTTTATCAGAGGATAGTGGAAGATGTGCAAATTCAAAAATTCTGTGCTTGACTGTAAACAGCAGCATTTGGAATTTATACAAAAGAGCAATACTGGAAGCTAAGAGAATGCTCTGGAGAGCTACTAAGAGATGTTTAGTAGTGTTAAACCTATTACTTGTGCTTTAATCTACTATTTTTCTTTCCAGTCCAATTAAATACAATAAAGGACACTTTGGCTTCCTCAAACAATGATGGAACATGGGGTAAGTCAAGCCTGGACAGCACGTGTAACTTAAATTAGAAAAGGCATAATGAAACAGGATCTGAAAGACCAATGCGTGACTTTTCTTCTCAACTCAGTCCTCGCAGGCGTAAGTTCTACCAGCGGCTCTTCACTATGACTCAGTATTAATGATTTGATTTAATGCAACAATCTATAATAGCAGTCGATCATAGAAGAAGTATTCTTGGCAGTCTGTGGGATGATAATGAGAAGCATCATCAGATGTGCTGTGCTAGAAGGACTGAATGCGAGGACAGGGCAGATCCCTTCCCTCTGAGGGTCTCTTGCATTTCCACATCTGCTTGCACCCTCATCCTATTTTTTTTCCAAATGATGGTTAAAGAAAAACATGTATTACCTGCCAGGAATAGCAGTAAGTCTTTTTGGCTTACATTACAAATGATGAAAGCAGTCATATGAAGTATATGGGCAACATGCATTAAATTTAGAAGTTTGCTGAAAGACAGGGGCAAAAACAGAAGCAGACACCTACTTTTGGGTATACTGATGGCTTTTCTCCCGAAGGAGGATTCCAGCCAGCGCTAGGAAGAAAAGCAGTTGGCCATTCAACTAAAAGTGTCGTCAGACCCCCTCGCCTGATATGGCCAGTGGCAAAGGTCAGTCAGGGGCTGGAACTCACCGGGTGACCCCTTTCACAGCTGGGGCCAGGCCCTGCTCCCGTTGTCCGCCTTCCCCCCCCGGCCAATGAAAGACCAGCGCTCAGCACACTTTGCTACGGCTTTATTCGGGACCGCGTGAGACCGGCAGTAAGGCAAGCGGCGTTTTGCATAGAAGTAACCCCCTTCATCCTCCTCCTCCTCCTCCTACTCTACCGGCCC